TCTATGAAACAGAGTGCGGATTATAACAATATTTTCAGCCTAATTTAAAACACAATGATAAGGTTTCTTGGAAAATGCTCTTGTGCATAGTATTTTACATAATCACACAAGATAATGATGCCACATTCCAACGGCTAGCTTTATATTTGGGAAAGAGTAAAAATTAATTGGCTGACACATACAAACATTTGCACGAGAAAACACTTATGTACTGGTACTATCAAGTTCCCTTCCTTAATCCAAAAGCCTCCTTTAATAATTAGTTTTAGACTAGTCACCTAATAATAAATACATAATAAAAATTGCAATTACTCTGTATTACATAATATCTAAAATAAGTATTAATATAATTGTGTCCACAATAAGGATATTACAACAATCAATACTCACATATAGCCACAATCCTAGGTTCCTAGCAATCTAGATATAGCATTTTTTCCTTTATCACCCATGTATATTAAAATGGTTAATTGCGCTAAGTTTGGTTAAAAATTTTGATCTATTTTTATCACCGCATTTACCTTATATTATCTAATCTGACTAGTGACTACATAATTTCGAAGGAACAAATTATTTACAAATTACAAATTAAAATATCTCAAAATATGTTGAATCTAGCTCTAGCTTAAAATATCTTATATTCATATGAAAGGTGAATTGCAATATTCGCAAATCTTATGTGATTCAAGTAACATGAAATTCCAAATTTCTCCTATCTTTAGGGGATGTGAAAAGTTTACTCAAATGGTAGATGTATAATGTATTGCACTTGTTAGTTTGTTGTACGTTACTTCAAATCAACATCGATTTTACCACCCACTTCTTAATATAAAATAATTGCTCATCAAATATTTCAATAATGTGTTCTATACATGCAAAATTATGGAGCACAAAAGGTAAATGGTAAATTTTAAAATAGAGTAGCTCATGCTTTGCTTAATACTTTGCTTAATCAGGATACCATTTTATACTGATTCACTACTATATTTTAATTAGCTCATAGTTGCCTTAATCAAATAGACATTATAATTTTGTAATTTCTTTCCTTACAATTCATGATGGCAAGTTGGTGTTCTCTATTTTCATACTTCATCATATTTATAATCTACTCTTTCAACCACCTCATTTCACTCAAAGAGCAAACGTTCTCAAAATGTTGAAAATAACTTAAATTTCTCTTAAATATTAAGACATACATGAAAATTTCTTTAATAACAAATGAATCGATCAATTCAATTCAAAACACATTATTAATTGTTATCCCGTGATTGCTAAATAATGTACGTAGTTGGTTAAAATTTTGTCATTTTACATTATTTAAGATCTAAGATTAAATTCCGTGTATATAACATTGATTTTACGATTTTGTGTCAACAATACTAGGTACGAGGAGGAACAATAAGAGCATCAAATACATTTCCAGGAGACCGACATTTATTTGAACTTTCTTCTAAGCCTTCCAAACACCTTCATCTAAACTCCACCACCAACACCCAAAACCAAATCAGTGGTATCCAATACGTAGACATCACCTTCCGTGACATACTCTTCGACTCGAGCTTCCGTGGCGGGGGTCTAACCATCATCGACTCAGCTCGAATCAGAGTCACAAACTGCTACTTCCTCCACTTCTCAACCCAAGGCATCCTAGTCCAAGGAGGCCATGAAACCTTCATTTCGGACACTTTCTTAGGACAACATGAAACCGTTGGCGGCGATCCAGGGGAGAGGCAATTCACAGGTAATACTGTAACCCTAAGGTTAATTTTGTAATTATGTAACCATTACGGTTAGTTTTACATATATACTACCTCTGTTAATTTTTAGTTACAATAAAAGATTTTTTTATAATCCGTATCTCACAAATAATATCCCTTTGTTGCAACTAAAAATTAGCGGAGGTAATATAACATGAGTGTCAGGGCTCCCTAATTGAGCAGAGTCTCCTTTCATTACTCACAACAGGCACTGCCATCGACGTTGGAAGCAACGACAATGCCATCACAAACGTGGTAGTATTCTCGGCAGCTGTTGGAATCATTCTCCGAGGCCAAGCCAACATGATCACGGGCGCTCATTTGTACAACAAGGCTACTGATTTCGGCGGTGTAGGTATTTTAGTCAAGTTAGCTGGATTATCACAAACAAGGATTGATAATTGTTACTTAGATTACAACTCTATTGTTATGGAAGACCCTGTACAAGTCCACGTAACGAACGGGTTCTTCCTAGGTGATGGTAACGTGGTGGTGAAATCGGTCCAAGGCCGAATTTCAGGACTAAACATCGTAAACAACATGTTTAGTGGCGACCCGAGTAATAACAAGGCAATAGTAGAATTAGATGGAGAGTTTACCAACATTGATCAAGTTGTTGTTGAACATAACAACGTAATCGGTATGAAATTGAAATCAACTGTTGGTAAATTGAGTATAAAGGGAAGTAATGGTACTAAATGGGAAGCTGATTTTTCAAAATTGTTGCTATTTTCGGATAGGATAGCTCATTTTCAGTATTCTATTTATAGTAAGAGAGGAGTTTTGCCTGTTCATGGTGTTACTAATGTGTCAAATAATGTTGTTACAGTTGAGACTGATAAGCCTATTGATGGGGTGGTGTCTGTATCAGTTGATCAGTATAATGTTGTAGGAGAGGAGATTAATTAGTTGAATTTGTCATGTAATTTGATGATTATGCTTTAATACAATGGTTAATATGCATATATTTTAATAAAGTTGTCCAATCCGCACTTTTTTTTTTTGTAAGTTTTGACCATAGTTATAGTTATTGTTCTCTAATCCGCACGTAGGAAATAAATAGGTATTATTGTGACACATATGATGCTAAGTAAACAGTTTTTGGATAGATTTTGTAATATAAAATTGTTGCATAGAGTTTTATTATCAATAGAATTCTAATATTTCTTATGTACAAAATTAATCATAACTTTTAATAAATATCATATAACTCAATTCTATTTCCATCATCAAATTCGTTTTAAAAAGTTCTTTAAAATAAAATCCATTCATAATATATTTATTCACAAACTTTTATACGTAGCTGGCCAAATAGTGTCACCAACCATTACAAGATCGGAGTTACTTCGTTAGTGTTATAGGGATTACTTAGTCAGTGTTATAGTGGTTACTCAATCAGTGTTATAGACAGGGGTTACTTAGTAAGTGTTAGAGTTACTTAGTTAGTATTACAAGGGTTACTCGATCAGTTTTATAGGAGTTACTTTGTCCGGCCAGATTGTGTGGCTAGCCGCATACAAAATGCATTGATATTTAATTTATTTAAAAAATATAAGAGAATCAGTAAAAATAAGTTTCAATCAGTAAAAATAATTTTAGTTTGGTAAAAATATTTTCAATTCAGTGAAATTAATTTAAGTTCAATAAAAATAATTTCAAGTCAATAATAACATAGATATCTATAACAAAACTACAAAAAGTATATTATTATATAATATAAGCCATATGATAACGTATGTCTAATAAATATCCTACATTATTATCAGAACGAATTATTTGACCGTTTTTAACATTCATGTAAAAAAGTTATCTTAAAATTAAATTTTATCAACTATCTGGGCATCGCCAGGGCACAAAACTATATATATATATATATATATATATATATATATATATATTGGATTGTGATCCAATAAGAAGGATCTTAAAATAAGAAGGATGAAAAGGAATCCTAATCGTGCAAAGTATTTCATCCAACGGATCATACAAAAGTTATAATAAACCCAAAAAAAAAAAAAATTAAAAAAATGGCCAAAAAGATATTGAACCCTATGCCTGATACATGCTCTGTATTATATATTGGAAATTTTCTATTTTTGCAGATTTTGGGAAAAAAAACAAGACCCCTAGTTTTTTCAAATTACCCCCAAATCAGATCGTTACAATGCGGGGCACCTTTTTTTTATTTTTTTTTTATTTTTTAAATTAAATCTATCCAAAGAATAACATGGAGTGTCTACTTGAATTGACAATGTTGGGCCCCCTTTGCCCAAATCCCTGTTCTCAGGTGAATGAATAAGAGAAGTAAACAATATGTACATTTTGTTCAAAATTTATGCACATCAAATTTAAGCCAAAAAATATTTGCACATTCAGTTTCAAAAATATACGCATTTAGTACAAAAATTTTGTACAAAAAATCTTCTCATTTTAAGGAACTTCTCATTTGAGCTTATATATATATATATATATATATATATATATATATATATATATATATATATATATATATATATATATATATATATATATATATATATATATATATATATATATATATATATATATAAATGAGGGAATGTATAATGTGAAAACCATCCTTACAATGAAAACTGACAACAGCTCATCCGTACCGTCCATTTCGAGATCTTACGGTTTGAAAATACACGCGAGTTTTAAGCTTACCTTCGTAAAATCAACGGTTACGATTTAAGTGAATTTAATCTCACATCTCTCATGAGCGTTTCTCTCTCCTGATCAAAAATTTTCATTCTCTCGCTTCAAAATTTTGGGGATACTTTCGTTCAGAAATCAATGGTGACATACCAAATCTCAACTTGAATCACTACTAATTTCGATTTCGTCGGAAGCGAAAAGCTTTAAATTGCAGCATCTCAACAACTCAGTTCTAATTGAGTTTTTTTTTTTAACTAATTTTTTAATTTACTTATTCACTCATTTTTTTGCTTTCAAATTTTTTGCTTATCAAATAATTGCTGAAATTCAGTAATTAGAAGATTTTCATTGTGTTTGTGAGTTTATCTAGTCTACAAAATCGTATTATAATAGTTTTAATATATACGAGTTTTATCTAATTAAATTTGAGGATTTTGAGTATTTATAATCTATATGCATATCAGTAATTTTTTAAGTTGAATCTGAATGTGCTTGTGTGATTGAAATTTATAAAAATTAGTGGAATTTAATCATCACGTGGCTGAATTGTTGATTGTTGGAGGTTTGATGTTGGAGTCGGGCTTTGGTGGCGAATTGGTGGAGCAATTGGTGGCTGTTGTGTGGGTGTCCGATAGAGATGCGGCTGCTGATGTTTCGGCTGGTCATGTGAATTGGCGGAGGTTGGTTGTGGATTTGGAGGGTGCGAGGTGGATGAACTACATGGCTGACTGGGCGAATTAAGGTAGCTGGTGGTTGTTGTGGGAATGCGTAGCTACTGTGCGTTGTTGTTGGGTTGCGTGGGTTGTGCTGAAGTAGGTGAGTGGCGTGGATACTTGGAGGTTGCAGTAGGGGAGTTACAAGGTTGTTATTGCTGCTTGTTGATGTTGTGTAGGTTAGCTGATGATGGGGTGAAGGTTTAGGCTGCTTAGGGGCAGGAGCAGAGGAGGGGGGGCAGCAGCCTTGTGATGCAAAAGAACATTCGACCAAAAACCGAAACTCCGAACTTGATTGGTTATAAGCTTTATTGTTTGCATGTTGGAAACCTATTAGCTCAATTGGTTGAGCAATGTGTACTTGTATAGCATACATGACGCTGGTTCAAATCCTACATAGGTTTACATATAGTGATATTTAAAAAATGTAGTCAAAATTAATCAAAAAGCTTTTTTTTTTTTTTCCTTCAAAGTGACCTTTATTTATACATACTTACATAGTGACCTTTGTGTAAATGTGGTCAAAATTAATAGTTACCTTATTTTTGTATATAATGATTTCTATATAAATGTGGTCAAAATTGATATAGTTACCCTATTTTTATATATAGTGGACCTGACTTCTATTTAAATGTTGTCAAAATTGATGTAGTTACCCTATTCTTGTATGTAAATGTGGTCAAAATTGATATAGTTATCCTATTTTTGTATATAGTGACCTTTATGTATATGTAAATGTTGTCAAAATTGATATAATTACCTTATTTTTATATATAGTGACATTTGTTATTTTTATATATGAGTGACCTTTGTATAAATGTGGTCAAAATTGATATATTTACCTTATTTTTGTATGTAGTGACCTTTATGTAAATATGGTTAAAATTAATATAATTACCCTATTTTTGTATATAGTGACCTCTAAGTAAATATTTTAAAAATTGATATAGTTACTTTATTTTTGTATATAGTGGCCTCAATGTATATGTTATCAAAATTGATATAGTCACTTCATTTTTGAATACAGTGACTTTTGTGTATATGTTGTCAAAATTAATAAAGTTACATTATTTTTATACATAGTTACCTTTACGTAAATGTTGTCAAATATGATAAAGTTGTGTATTTTTGTATGTTGTTACCGCTAAAACATTGATCTGAGTATGTAAAAGGGAAAGTTGAAAAGATCATTTGGCTTTAAACCGTTAGATCTTGTAAGTAATAATGGATGGTTGAGATTCTCTGTTTTTAGTTTACACCCTAAGCCTTGTTTTGAGCGGAATATATATATATACCCCTCCTTATATAAGAACCCTAGTTATATAAGAACCAATCTCAGCCGTAGGATTAAGTTACTTTGGACGGTTAAGATTAAAACACATATCCTCCCTTAAACCCTTTACCAACCGTTCAAAATTTTCTCTCCTCTAACTTTCTCTCTCTTCGTGTTCATCACTTTCTCTCTCCTCAAACCCCCAAAAATCTCCATAGAAATTGCAATTTGAAGGATTTTCAAATCAGGTATGTTTTTTTTTTTTTTTTTTTCCGATTTTGTTCAAATTTTCATGAAATTAGCATGATGTTCAAGTAGATTTTGCGATTTTTTGATATGATTTTTGCGATTTTATTTATGTGATTTTTGTGATTTAATTTTTGCAATTTTTTGATTTGATTTTCATGAATTTCGCAGGAGTTAAAGCCGATTGTTCATATTTCTGATTTGATTTTCATTAATTTTCGGCGATTTTAGGGTTCAAACTTCGGCAATTTTAGGGTTCAAACTTCGACGATTTTAGGGCTGGAATTTCAGCGATTTTAATGTTCGAATTTCAGCGATTTTAGTGTTTGAATTTCAGCAATATGAGGTAATTTCTCCACTGCTCTTGATTATTAGATAATTTCAGCCCATTTTTTTCGAACTTCTTTTATTTTTTTTGGCGTCATCACTACTAGAAAATAGGCCATTTCCGACGGCAAAATTCCGTTGGAAACACCCTAAATTTCGTCGGAAAACACTGTTCTGACGGAATTTCTGTCAGAACTGGTTGTCGGAACACCCTTTGTAGGTAAAATGGCCAATTCCGTCGGAAAACACTACTCCGACGAATTTCCGACGAAATTTTTTCGTCGGAAGAGGTTTTTTCGGTACTGGAAAGTCCGTCGGAAATTTCCGACGGAATTTAAATCCGCCGGAAATTTCCGGCGGAAATTCCGTCGGAAAATTTAATAAAAAAATAAAAAAAAAACCTCCACCCACCAGCCCACCCCCTACCCCCCTGCCCCCACAACCCACGCCCACCACCACTAGCCCACCCCACCCCTGCCCCTGACCTACCCCCCTACCCAGGCCACCCCACCCCTGCCCCCTACGTCCTCCCCCTACCCAGGCCACCCCACCCCTGCCCCCTACGTCCTCCCCCTACCCAGGCCACCCACACCACCACCAGCCCCACCCGCCTAACTTACCCAGACACCCCACCCCACCCAGACACCCCACCACACCAGTCCACCCCCACCAGCAGCCCACCACAACCTAGTTCCCCAACCACCACCGAAAAACCGAAAAAAAGCAAAAAAGAAAAAAAAATACGAAAATAAAGAACAATTCCAAACACCCACCACCCCTAACCCCCACCGCCACCCCGTAACTCACCACCCCCACCACACCACCACCCACAAATAAAACCAATTTAACCCAAAAAATCCAAAAAAAAAACAAATTCACCCAAATAAACGCAAAAAATCAAGCAAATTCATCCGAAAATTAAACAACGACAATCACAAATTAAACAACCGAAATAAACCCAAATAAACAAAATTATATTAACACATTTTGTTTAAATAATACCAAAAATTCAAATAACCGAAAATTATACAACGAAAATAAAAAAAATTATGTAATTACACAATTATAATTACATTCAAATTGATTGTTTGTTGCGGCGAAAATTGTTGTTGATTCTTGATGTTGTTGTTGTTGTAGAAGACGAAAGAGGAGAGAGAATTTGTTGCTTGCTGTTGATTGATTGTTGTTGTTGCGGCAAAAATTTGTTGCTTGTTGATGATTTTGTTGTTGTAGAAGAGGAAAGAGGAGAGAGAAAGGGAAAAGATAGAGGAGAGGAGAGGAGATCAGAGAAGAAGAGGAAGAGAAGAGGAAGGAGGAGAGAGAAAGGGAGAATATCAGAGGAGAGGAGAGAGATAGGGAAAAGAGGCGGATCTGGAATAAGGGAGAATAGGGTTCCCAATTGAAAGAGTTGTCCGGTTTTTTTTTTTTTTTTTTTTTTTTTTTTTTTTTTTTTTTTTTTTACTTTTGAAAGTTCCGATGGATAATAATCCCTCGGAATATTTGGGTTTTCCGAGGGAATATTCCGTAGGAAAAATAACTTTCCGACGGAATATTCCGTTGGAAGCCTAATATTCCGAGGGAATTTATTTCCGTCGCAAGAATTCCGAGGGATTTTCCGTCGTAACGGGCACGTTTTCGACGGAATGTTCCGACAGACCATAATTCCGTCGAAAAGTACGGATTTTCCGATGGAATTTAGGTTCGTCGGAACGATTCCCTCGGAAAACGACCTATTTCTAGTAGTGCATTTTGGTGAGTGATGGTGGAGATCGAGGGTGAGTAATGGTGGTGCTGTGGTTTAGAGCAGCGTAGGGTGCTGCTGAATGGTGATTTGGTGGTGCGCAGTTGCTTGCGGTGTTAGGTGATTGTGAGTTGTGGTTGTTGTTGTTGGCGGTGGTTGGAGGAGGTTGGAGATGGTGGGTGACGGTGGTAATTGGTGTTGCTCCTAATCCAAGTATATATAAGCTGTAGTTATTGTAAAAATAATTGTAATAAGGAAGTTCATATTCATTTATATTATATTGTTACAAACTTAGTTGTATGAACTGACAAATTGGTAAAAAAATTGAAGTAGAAAGATGAAGATTGGTTGCATTTATCACGGAAGAAAAATTGGAATGGTAATTGTTAAGTGTACAAGAGTTGACCAAAGCATTGGTAGCTTATGAGGAATGAATGAGTCATGGTTGGTGGCTGGTGTGAGTGAGGGTTGATAGGGAGTAATTTGTGGGCTGCTTATGGAGTGAATTTGGTTGCGCTGGTGATTGCAATTGGTGAGCTCACAAGGAGATGGAGCAGTGGAGCAGTGGAGTTGTGGATAAAGCAGGGGAGTGTTGGCTTCTTAATTGAAATGTTTAGGACCCGAGACACCGAAAATGGATTCAAATTAGGACATGATAAGGAGTAATTTGGGAAATAAAAGGCTTGTTGGTGCCCTGAAGGCAACCCCTTGTACTATATAGAAGGAGAAATTATTTCGTAGTTTTTTTGGTCGATTTATGTGCGATTTTTTAGGCGATTTATGTGCTAAACTCTTAGCTTAGCATGTTCCAAACTCTTTTTCATAACTTAGCTTAGCATGTTCTAAACTCTTTTTCAGCATGTTCTAAACTCTTTTTCAGCATGTTCTAAATTATTCCTATGTTCAAAAATATATTTCTAATGTTGAAATGTTACTAATGTTTTTGATTTCTTAAAATCGCAGCAAAATACAAGGCCAAAATGAAGAAAAATCAGTAGAAGAAGTTACTATTATACAAGAAAAAGAAATTACTTATTCAAGAAAAAGGTAATTAATCTAATGTTCTAAAGTTTACCTATTATGTATTAAAGTTTGTTCTAAAGCTTTCCCTTATGTTCTAAAGTTTTCTATTATGTTCTAAAGATTATCATATATGTTTGAAAGCTTATTTTGTGGTCTAATATTTTTCCATTATATTAAATTTTCATCTTAACACTTTATATTTGCACTGTATGTAAGTTTTAAAGTATTTCTGATCACGTTCTAAATTGTCAATGTTCTAAAGTATTTCTGATTATGTTCTAAATTGTCAATGTTCTAAAGTATTTCTGATTATGTTCTAAAGATTATAATAGATGTTCTAAATCATTTATATTTGATTTTAAAGGAAAGTTGTTGAAACTGTTGAAGCGGAAGTAATTGACAAAGAGGAATTTGAGAAACATTTTAAAAGCCTAAATATTCCTAAACGACGTAGCAAGCTTCCATCAAGAATTGAACCACCTCGAAAATTTAAAAAAAAGGAAGAAGAAGAAGAAGAAAGAGACAAAAAAGAAGTAATGAAAGAAGAAGAAGATGACGAGGATGAAGATGATGATGAGATGGATGAAACAAAGTTGGAGGAGGAAGATGATGAAAGAGAGGACGTGGAAGATGATAGTAAAAAAGTTCTAATTTATTTGTTAATGTTCTAAATTATATGTTTATCTTATTTGTTGATAAGCTATGTGCTTATCTTTTTTCAGGGTGTTATGAGAAAAAAATGTGAAAAGTAAGAAAAGAAAGATTGAAAAAGAAGAGGATGATGAGGATGTCTAATTAATCAAAGAGGAAAAAAATCTAAATAAGAGGATGGCTTATCAAATATTTCCTGCTAAGCAATTGATGAAAACGGTGTTGATAGGTATTTCTGATAAGCATAAACAAGCAATTAAGAAAATTGGATTTAGAGCTTTTTTGGAATTGGATGCACCATTTTATGCCGATTCTCAGTAAGCACTAGCACTAATTTTTATTTTTATTTTTATGTTTTAAAGATTGACTATTATAATCTAATCTATATTTATTGTGTTTTAAATCTTATAATGTTTTAAGTTTCATTTATTATGCTTATTTTTTTTTATTTCTATGTTCTAATAATTGGTTATATTATGTTGTAAACTTGTAATGTATAATTTTCGTGTTCTAATTCTTATAAGATTCTAATTAATGTTCTAAAGTTTAAATATTATGTTAATTTTAATTTTTATTTTTATTTCTATTCTATGCTCTAATCTATATGTATTTTGTATTCTAAACCTTTAATTTAATTCTAGGTTGACGGAACAACTTCTTACGAATTTTGATCCCAAAAGATGTTGTTTGATGCTACTTGGGAGAGAAGAAGAAATATTCTTTGATGAAATTGATGTTCACATGGCATATGGATTGTCAATGGGAGATGTCAAAATTCATGAACCACAAGAAGAATCTGATGTGGAATATGCAAAGTTTTTACAAAAATGGAGAAAAAACTTTGACCTTGAAGAGGTATGAATATTTTGTTTTAAAATGTCACTTTGTGTAGTTATTAATCCTATATTTTAAAGTTTAAGTATTATGTTCGAATTTTATCTTCTACTTATCCTTTTATTAAAGTGTCCTAAAGTTTTTATTTAGCTTATGTTCTAAATTGTATTTTGTGCTTGTATTTTAAAGTTGTTATTATTATCATGTTCTAAAGTTCTTATATTCTAAATTAGCTTTAAGTTATGTTCTAAAGTATTTTCAACTTATAGAATATGTTTAGCTTATGTTCAAAAGTATATTTAGCCTGTGTTCTATAGTGTAATTTTTATTCTGTGCTTGTCTTCTAAAGTTGTTATTTGGCTTATGTTCTAAATTGTATTTTCTGCTTTTTTACTGGTGTTGTTCTGAATTTATAAATTATACTCTATGTTCTAAAGTATTTTTTGTATGTTTTAAATTATGTATAATTTCTAAATTATGATCTATGTTCTAAATTATGATCTGTTATGTTCTAAATTATTTCTGCTTATGTTCTAAAATAATTTATGCTTATGTTCTAAAATATTTTCTGCATATTTATTATTACTTCCACCTATGTTCTAATTTATATGTTTTATTTTGTCTCTTAAAGGGTGCTCCAACAAATGTACAATTGATTAGTAGGATTAAAAAGGTAAAAGAAGTAGATAAAGTAGAAGATCGAGTTTTCGATGAATTCATTTGGAATTTCGTGGTTTGTGTGGTTAATAGTTGCATCCGTTCAACTAATAGCACACAACTATACATTAAGTTTTTGTATAGTTGGTAGGGATACGACGAATATAGTTAAGTTGAATTGGTGCAAGTTTGTTAAGGACCACCTGATGGAAACTTCTCAGAAATGGCTAGATGGAGAATCTTATTTTATTGGTCCTTTAATCTTTCTTACGGTAATATTTATTTTTTTACCATTCTTTATATATGTAATTTTATATTATGATCAAAATGCACTAAAAATAGTCTAATTAATTCTTATAGGTATCCTATTTTGATCGTATACAAAGAAAATGGTTGGAGCTACCACGGGGAGTTCCATTAATAGCATTGTGGAACAAGGAAAGGTTTCATACAAGAATAAAATTTGAAAAAGACATTGGATTTGGAAAAGGAAAAGTACTAAAAAGACTGAAATTGAATGTGGTATGATTTTCATATATGTTTATGTTCTAAATTTTACACTATACGTTCTAAAGTTTACGCTATATGTTTTAAAGTTTATCTTGCATGTTTTAAAGTTTATCTTGCATGTTTTAAAGTTTATATATTATGTTCTAAAGTTTATTATGTATGTTCTAAAGTTTGTAATTTATTCATATTATAATTTGTAGGGTGAAATCAAGAAGAAAAAAATTGGAGGATACAAAAAAGAAAAATGAAGAGCCATTAATGGTAATTATACCTTTTATATTATCTTTTAAAAATTGTAAATAATATATTCTTACCTATTAATATATATAATTTTTGTAATAACAAAAGTTAACTTACTCATATTATAACGTGTAGAATGAGAACAAAAAACCGAAGAATAAGAAAAAGAAAAATGAAGGTCCATCAATGGTAATTATCGTTTCAAAATTATACATACATTATGTTTATGCATACATTCTAAGATTTGTAATTTATATTTTAAAAGGCATTGAAAAAAAAGGAAAGGGGAAGACAAAGGGAAGAAGAAAGTTATGATAGAGCAACCCACGGCATTGAAAAAAAAAACAAGGGAAAGACAAAGGGAAGGAGAAAATTATGGAAGAGCAATCCATGGCTTGAGATTCCATCACTTCTCCAAATGACATGATGGTATAATGTTTTAATGTTTCATTTATTAATTTATTTACTTATTTCTATTATGTTTTAAATAATCATTACTTAATGTTATAAGTTTTATATTATACTCTATTTAATCCTTTAGGTTCTAAATTATACATGTTCTAAATAATCCTTCATTTTAAAATAATTATTTACTTTAGATTCTAAATAATCATTTACTTTATGTTCTAAATCATTAGGGATTTTTAAGCAAATTTGGAGATTTTGCAAAAACTCTTGCATCGAATGTGAAAGAGTTGTATAACATGCTAGGCCAAGCAAAAGATATCTTTGTTGAGGAAGAAACAACTGGGAAAATGCATCATTTTATAGACAACATTTGGTGCAAGTATACCACAAAGGTATTATAACCATGTTCTAAAGTACTTATGTTCTAAAGTATATTCAGCTTATGTTCTAAAGTATATTCAGCCTATGTTCTAAAGTCTAATTTTTATATTTAAAATAGTTCAACATATATAAATATTAGCCTTATTGTACTATAAATTATGTTTTCTTATATTACAGCCATTGGAAAATCAAGAAGAAGAAAAGCAATCAAATAAAAATCCTTCCATTCTTAGTCAAGATCAACATTTCTTCGATGAGCCGGCATTCATGGAAGAATTGGATATGTTGATGAACAAAGCATGGAAGAAGTTCAACAATGAAAATTCACCAAAGACATCGACATTTGGTAATTACATGATTAATTTCCAAAATGTACCTATGTTCTAAATGATGCTCTTAAATCGAGTCTCTATGTTCTAAATCAAATCCTTATGATATATTTATGTTCTAAAATTGTGTCTTATAATTACTATGAAGGTTTGACATCAAACGAAGGAGAAAAAGAAGAGAACAATGAAGAAAGGAAAAGCAAGGAGAAGAAAGATGATAGTATCCTCTCACCAATAGTTGGTAATTTCACATTATTTTCAAACTCATTTCTATAATAATTTTTTTTTTTTTTTTTTTTTTTTTTTTTTTTTTGCAGTTTGAGCAAATGAAAAGGTTAAGAATGGAGTATTGTTGGAAGATTATAACATCAAAAATAAATGATGAAAGGAAAAGACCGATGAAGATAGAAGTAAATGATGAACGGAAAAGAGTGATGAAGAACAAGATTGATATATGATTGTGTAGATCTTAAGTATATATCTTTAGAGAGATATTTAAAACAAATATAATAGTACATTTCTTTATTTTTTTTTATGTATACATAAATATATTATAACAAGACACATATGTTAGTTTAGTACCCTTGCTTATGGTATTGATGATAAGATTACGGTTTTGATATTTTGGTTTAAAAATGTAGCCAAAAAGTTAATTCTACCTCCTTTTATAGTTAGTTTTTGGGTGCAAAATGACCATTATACCCTTAATTTTTTTTTAAATAACCTTATTAAATTACAAATTTGATTTCATTAAATAAACCCCAAGCTTAATTAATTTCACCCTCATCCCCATTATTTTTCTCTCTCCTCCTCCTATCCCATTCTCATGGTGGGTTCGTCGGTGGTTTCCAATCATTGGTGGTTTCAGACTTTCAGGTCGTGGGTGGTATGCTCAATTCGCGGGGTTTGTTGGTGGTAGGTTGGTGGGTTCAGATCAGTGGGTTTGTGGGTAGATCAGTGGGTTTGTGGTTGGTTTGTGGGTTAGTTGGGGTCGGTGGGTTTGGTGGGTTGCTGCAATGGGTTTGGTGTATTCTTGGCTTGGGTCGGTGGGTTTGGTGGGTTGCTGCAATGGGTTTGGTGTATTCTTGGCTTAGATCGGTAGGTTTGGTGGGTTTCAGGTTTAGATCGTTTGTTAGGATCGGTGGTAGTGGGTACGTGAGCTCGTGGCTTAGATCGGTGGGTTTGGTGGCTTAGATCGGTGTTGCGGTTGGGTGGTGGTGGGTTCGGTGTTTTGTGGTGCTGGCTGGTGGTGTTGGGTTGTTCCGGTGTTGCTGCGTGGTGGTGGTGGGTGGTTTCCGTGCTGCTAGTGGTGGTGGGTTATTTAGTTTAATCTCGGTTAAATTTTTTTTTTTTTTTTTTGGGTTGGATTAATAGTTAACTATATGCCCTTATTTTTCAATAACCATGCTTAAGATCTTTTGCCTAGGTTTCCGCAAAACCCCTCTTTGTTGCGAGTGAAGTTTGGTGGTGGTAGAAGTCATGTTCTAATGTAATTAGTTTAGAATACAAGACATTATGGTGTTGATAAGTAATCATACAAACAACAAATTAAAAATATAAGCAACTTAGAATATAAAGGTTAAAATTTAAAACATAAAGGAAAACTATAGAACCTATTAATTAGATTAGAACATACAATAAACTTTAGACTATAGAGAATAATTGGACAAAAAAAAATGATATTATGTTTTCAATATAATAAAATAAAATACAAAAAAAAAAAAAAAATTACACGAATTTTTTTCCATGTGCAAGTAATGAGATTATTTTTAAAAATAAAACGTCTCATGCGATTGTACTAATTGCATATCCATCAACCTGAAAAAAAGTTAAAAATAATTAGAACATAAACACATAAAAATATTAATAGAATGTTTACTTACAATATTACTTGACTTTCCCGGGACAATTGCGACTATCATGATGGCGAAGCTCTCCACATGCTCTACATAATATTTTCTTCTTTTGACTTTGTTCAATAGCTTTTTCTCTGTCACTCTTTATTCTCTTGTCACTATTTGGAACATGGATATAATTTGACACACTGATCTCATTTGGAACATGGACATCATTTGGAACATTAACCTGATTTGGAACATGAACCCCCGTGCCTTTGTTCTTTGAAATTTTAGGAGGTTTGATCAAAACTTCAAAAGGTAGACTAGCTCCAATAAGCATTTCAATGTCTTTAACTTTGCTAGAAAGATTGTTGCTTCCATTTATTGTTTTCTTCCGTTCCAAATCTATCCTCATGACTCGAAGTTTTTTGACAAGATCACTAAGATCATCTTCATTATTTTGCACTAAACTCACACAAGCATGAATTTTAGACCATAAATCATTTAATAGCATCTTCTTATCTACTGCATTAATACATTCCTCCAACACATTACCCTCTAAATCAAAAATGGGCTTCTTATAAGCCATTGTACATCATTCAGAACGTAGGCCTTGGGAATTTTTTCTAACATCCTTGCCTTCCATACCCAAATAATATGCTTACAAGGCACACCATCACGTTCAAATTTTTTACAAAAACACTTGGTATCAAAGGTAGTTGGATAAAAACAACATCAAAAGTCCTCCTCCTAGATCCTTTCCTCAATTTGAAAATGTAAAACTCATTGTCCTTCTTCATCTCTTCAACACCATAATTAAAACATCCAATTTCAAACTCATATTGAAATTCATAGAAAATTGTTGTTGTAAACAACTCGGAAGCATCTTTCTATAAAGGAATTGGAGTCTTACACTCCGGACGCTTATTCTTCGAATCATTATCCATTTTATTTTTGAGTGTGCCTTTGAGCATCCAATGCACATTCAAACTTATAGAATATAGAAAGTAACTTTAAAACATAGAAGATAACTTTAGAACATAGAGTGAATTACATTAGAACATATAAAAATAATATACATGACATGCTTATTATGATCTAAATATTATTAAAACATAAAGCGAAAACTTTTAAACATGTAAGACAAAATTTAGAACATAAAAAGAGAACTATAAAATAAATAGTAAAACTTTAAAACATAAAAAGAAAACTTTAGAGCATAAAAGGAAAACTTTAGAACATAATGAATTAATTTATCTTCTAAACTTGCTTAGAACATATTTACTTTAGAGCATATTGAGTTACTTTAGAATGTAAAACATAAACTAGAACATTAATAACAAACTAAAGAGAGAAAAACACTTCAGAACATCGAGAGAAACATTAGAACATAAAAAGTAACTTTAGAACATATTTCGATTATTACATATTACCTCATGTAGAACTCAATCAGAGTGAGATGAGGATTTGTAAACATAGTGAAAAAATTATTTTCAGTTTTTGATCTAGAAGTGGTCCTCATGATGCCACCCAAAAATAAATCTCTGAAATAGGTCGGAATCCACATATCACGTATATTGTACATATGCGCTAACCATTCATATTATTCAAATGGAATTCTGAAATAACTTAGTTCCATTTTTGTTCAAACTTTGTCGGCTTAATCTCTAAATGCCAAACACATGTACAAAGTTTTTTCAGAAAATCGATGTCTTGGGCGATTCCCTGACCTACTTTTTCAAGCACCTTTTTCATAATATGCCATATACAAAACCTATGTTCTGTAGTTTGAAAAAATTACGAATAGCAACTCTCATTGCAGGGTCTTGATCGGTAATCAAACAAACAGACTCATTATTTCCCATGGCTTTAAGAAAAGTTTTTAAAACCCATTCAAAAGAAGGTATATCTTCATGAGCTACAAAGATGCCGCAAAAGTAACACATTTCTCATGGTAATCAGCTCCAATAAATGAACCAAAGATCGTATTATATCTGTAACATACACAAATAATATATGCAGAAAATATTAGAACATAAGGATAAACTTTAGAACATAGAGATAAACTTTAGAACATTAAGGATAAACTTTAGAGCATAGTAATTTACTTTAATTATTAAACTTGCCAATAACATAGTTACTTTAGAACATAGTGAATTACTCCAGAACATAAACAATAAATTTAGAATATAGATTGAAGCTTTAAAACCTAATAAGTAAACTTTAGAACATATAGACATAATGTTTAGAACACAAGACATAATGTTTAAAACATCAGAACATGATGGATATTAGTTTAAAACATAAAGCATAAAGTGTAAAACGCAAGAGCATAAAGTTTAAAACATAAAAGCATGATTGATATATTTTAGAACATAAGGCATATATGTATAGAACATCATCATATATGTTTAGAGCATAAGACATACATAGTTTAGATTATAAGACATATATGTTTAGAACATCAGAAAATGATGGATATTTGTTTTGGAACACAAGGCAATAAGGCATAATGTTTAGAATATAAGAACTTATGTTTACAAAATTAGGATGTAAAAGTAAAATATTTAGAATATAAGAACGCAATAAATATTACTTAAGATTATGAAAAAAATATATATTTAAAACATCACTTGTTTGTTTTGAATGTGGTATCAAAAGAAACATATCGCCAAAAAGTTCATAATTTTTCCGACAAATAGGATCAACCCATAAAGCTCTACAAAGTCTATCTTCTTTATCAACATCATAGTCAAAGAAAAATGCACTCTATAACAATTTCTTATTTTGAAAATTATCCACAAACATTTGGGCATCTGATCCGTCAATGTAAGCCTTCAAATCTCTATAAAAAATTTTGAAATCTTGTTTAGATGCACCAATATTATCATGTGATCCAACTAATTCTTTCATCATAGTATAAGACCTCACAGGACCAACATTTACCTGTTTAAAAAGAGAAATAAAAATTACTATGATTAAGGTTAAACGTTAGAACATAATAAATCATAACAAAGAAAACATTATTTAGCACATAAGAATAATCACCTTTGAATTATCAACAATCAACTTTTTATGCATAAAATGCATTTTTCTATTATCCTTATGAAATTTTGCACAACTTGGAGTATATAAAGGATGATTATGTGCTTCTTTGAAATGAGTAACAACATACTTTCCGTCCTCATATCTCATACATATGTGAGCATTGCATCCTACGCGAGTGACTAAACGTTTACTAGTAATACGAACTTTTCCTTCTTCATCAACGGTTTGTCAAGCAATAGATTTTCTTATTGCTTTGAAACCTTCCTTATTGCAAACTCCATATTGAAAAGTAATTACATCTTTGTTATTATTCTTCCTTTTTGTAGTAGATTTCCTAGAAGTAAACCTAGCGGCATTTGCATATGCTTTGTAAAAACTAAGACCCTCCTCGGGATCTTTAAATATCATCCCCACACTGGGTTTTAACTCCTTGGGAACACTTGGAATCCATTACTTAGTGGTACCACCAGGACTAAATGATCCATCCACCTCAGGAGTACGATAAATAATACAAACTACATTAGAACATTAAAAAAAAAACATTAGAACTCGAAAGTAAACATTAGAATATAAAAAGTAAAATTTAAAACTAGAAGGTAAACTTTAAAACATACAATGAATGTTTTAGAACATAAAGAAAACAATAGAACGTAAAAATAAACTTTAAAAATAAAGAGGAGAGATACATAGAAAACTTTAGAACATACAGAGAAAACTTTAATTAGAACATTACTGATAAACTTTAGAACATAGTAAAGAAACTTTAGAACATGTAAGTAAAGTTTAGAACATGTAAGTAAATTGAAATTAAAGCATTAAAAACAATAAAATTACCTGAATGAGTAACAGAGGAAGAAGTAGAATTAGGTTCAACACCATCTAAATCCATGAATATGCAAAAACCTAATTTCAAAACACAAATTGTAGCAAAAAAGCAACCTGAAATTAAAATCCAATAAAATTCAAGCAAATAGAAAAACTCAAGCAAATAAAAAAAAAACTAGAAAACTAGAAGACAAAATTGATGAAATTAGGGAAAAAAAAACCTCAAGCAAATTCGCAAAAAAAAAAAAAATCTGGAAAAAAAAATCGAAAACTAAAATCGAAAAATTAAAACAAACAAATTGAAAATTAAAACAAAGAAATCTAAAGATGTAAACTCTAAATTGATGAAAGTAAAAACAAAAATAAGGAAAATCGAAAAAAAACCCAAAAAAAAAACAGAAAAATCGAAAAAAAAAACCAAAAAAAAAAAAACAAATTGAAAATAAAAACGATGAAATCTAAAGATGTAAACTCTAAATTGATGAAAGTACAAACAAAAAAAAAAGGAAAATCGCACAAAAAAAAAAAGATAAATCGAAACAAAAAATCGCATGCAAAATCTGAAAAGAAATCTGGAAAAAAAAAGGAATAAAATGAAATCAGAATATTTTAAGAATTGATAAACTTACCAGAGTTTGAATTCTTTGATAAAGATTGGGTACTTTTGAGTTTTTGAGTTTTGAGGAAAGAGAAGATTTCGAGGAGAGAGAAAATGTTGAGGAGAGAGAAGGAATTGTCTTGAGATTTAGGGTATTTTGTTAGAAAGGTAATAAAAAAATTGTACACAATTACAGAAATGCCATTACTAAAGGATGATTTAAGATGGTTAGATAAAAAACTAATAAATGGCTGAGATTGATTCTTATATAAGATTGGGTTCTTATATAGAGTAGGGTTCTTACATGAGCCTTCATATATATATATATATAGAAATGGGATCATATAAGACCACATCCCTTATGTGAGAACCTGGTATATGTGAGAACATATTACAACCATTGGATCAATTGCATCCAATGGTTACCATTCATCCCGGTCAAATATAATTTCAAAAAACAAAAAAAAAAAAATCAGCGTTTTCTCTCTCCTCCTTCATTTTGCAAGTTATTTTCTCTCTCCTCCTTCATCACCATTGTTGAATTTACCTCAATTGCAGCTATTCTATCTCATCTCTTTATGTATTTCCAGCAAAACCTACGATTCTCCCCTTCTTTCTCCCAAAACCCTAAAATCAATCGGCAATCAACGCATCAAAGATCAGCATTTCACAAAAACCGATTTCTTAGACGCCGAAATCCTGTTTTTGCTATCCTTGAGTTTCGAGGTCGGAACCATGAAGAATTCGGTGTTTTTGGTGATTGAAGAATTGATGATGAAGCTTAAAGAGGTGGCTTAAGAAGTGTGAGATGGTGAGCACCGAGGTTTGTTGTGATGTCATAGATTTGATGTACGAGAACGATGAGATATCGCGGATGTTAGTGGAATCGCCGGTGTACCTTGCGGCGACGATTGTGGTTAGTTTTTCTAATTTGATTTTTGTTATCATTATATTTCTTTGATTTAATTTCGATTTTGTAACAAGTTTTTTCTGATTTTGATTGCGAAATTTAGGGTTTTTCGATCATTTGTTTGTGTATTTGTGATTTTGATTGCTATTCATTCTAGGGATTCTTCAATTATATGTTTTCAATTCTTCATTCTAGGGATTCTGTCATCAGAAATACGGAAGTTGAAATTGTGGTTCCTGCTCATGTATTTGGTCTTGTGTATGGCGAAGGTGGTGCTAATCTATCTCGTCTGAAACAGGTAATCAATTCCTGATCATTGATCTTGATGTTTTTTTATTATCAATTTGTGCAGAAGGTTTCTTGATTATGAGTAAATTTCTTGAAATTCCCAGCATTTTGCTAATTTTGGATTCTAGTATGAATTGTTGATTGAGTTGAAAGATGTTTGTAGAATTCAATTGAGATTGGAATGGTAAATTAGGAATGGAGATGAGTTCGCAGTCATAGAGGCGGTTGGTGACTACTCGTGACTTGGTTGAAGAAGCTAAGAAGCGAATTGTCATTCTTTCGATATGTGTTGTCGGTCTTTCTTACCTCATGTTCTGTAAGATCACTGATACACAATAGGAATTTTCAGAAAGGAAAAAAAAAATGACTAATTTCTGTTGGATGCTTCTAAGGAGTTTGATTCTTATGGTGAGTGAGTGAGTCTATGCAACACAAGATTGGATTATTTATAGTATTCTTTTTATCACTTATTGAATTATTGAATAGCTTTAGGATGCAGAGCAAACTTTTTTGTTGTTTCCTATTGTGACATATTTGAACATATAATTATTTTTATGCTATGTTGATGCTTTTTTCATGGTACGTGATTGACCATATCTTTCTCATTCCTTTTACATATAGCTAGACTAGCTTCTAAATCTGTGTGATGCACGAGTCAAAGGAAAAAATAGTGTTTGGTTGTTGAGGTTCATAGTTATGGTTGTGGTCAATTTTTTGTAGTGATTATAATTCAACTATTGAGAGTTAAATGAAATTGGTTTTTCCAAAGTGTTAGGTTACTAACTGCTGATTATTGCTCCGTTTAACATAGAAATCACAACCCATTCTCATCGTATCTTATTGAATTTGATTATTACTCCGTTTAACATAGCAATTTAGGGATGTGTTCGATTGGGTGGATGCTAATAGTACAGGTCGTATAATTCCTCTTGAAGGAGCTGATGTCGAATATGATTTTGCCAGTAAAAAGATTGAGGAGATTGAATCTGATGTGATGAAACATATTGTGGAACAGAAAAAGTTACTTGGCATCACATTGGTAATGGAAACTTTATTAATTTAAAATATAAACTTTCTCATCGTATCTTATGTGCTTCATTAATTTGTCTCCTTGTACATACGTTACCATTGGAAAGGCATATATCTGTTACAAATGAGTAACTAAGTATTTGCTCATTTGTTAAATGAGCAAAAAAATTGATTGCTCATTTCCCAAATAATCAAAGAAATGTTTTCTTATTTTACAAATGAGTAACTTTTTTTGAAACATTTACAAATGAGTAACTAATTATTTGCTCATTTGACAAATGAGCAAAGAAATGTTTGCTCATTTCACAAATGAGCAAAGAAATGCTTGTTGATTTAATGAATGATTAAAGAAATGTTTGCTCATTTGACAAATAAGTAACTAACTAGCTATTTGCTCATTTGTAAAATTAACAAATAAGTATTTGCTGATTTGATAAATGAGCAACTAACTATTTGCTCATTTGCTAAAAGTTGATCTTTCTTCATTGATGTTTACAAAAAATTACAGGTTATAAAATTGCAAAACAATTCTTTGCTTATTTATCAAATGAGCAGATACTTTTGGCTCATTTTGTCAAAAAATAATATTTATTCTTTACCAATTTGTCAAAAATGAGCAATTAGTTTTTGCGCTCATTTGTCAAATGAGCAAATATTTTTTTGCTCATTTGCCAAATGAGCAAAAAAATTCAATGCTCCTTTTTCAAATGAGAAAACTATTTAATGCTCATTTGTCAAATAGGTTATTGGCTGACTTCCTGACTAATTCAAGCAATACAAGAATACTACTATATGTAGGATTTTGGTGCCATTGCAGTAATTTTACGGCTTGTTCTGCACAAGAGATGTATTATCTGAGGGAATGTCCAACTAGTCCAAGTAAACGAGTCTACATGACCTAGCATGTTTATAATTACCAATGGTACAGAAAATCAGGGAAAAAGCCCCATATATGTTAACAGATTTCATGAACATGCTAGGCTTAGGCTCTACGCTCTTGCTGACACCTAGCTAATGATCTAATGTAGTGATTCTTCAATAAGAGTATGAAATCTGTTAAAGAAGAGACATTTATACCTAGTAGAAACTTAATTCATTGGCAAAATTATGCATCAGACGTGTTTAGCTAAAGTGCTAAATCCAGCCATTAATGATGTTTCATGTTGTCCACATAGCTTGTGCAATTGGTACACTATTGTGAGCGGGAATGTTTGTGTGGTGGTTTCAGCTATAAGAGAGGTAATTTATATTCTAGTTTAATCCTACATTTCCATTTATATTTTCCTAAACCAGTTGAGGTGCTTTGGCAAATGATGTCTTCACAGGTTCTCATATTAGTGATGATTGCATGAGATAAAGGTTGTGACCTTATGTTATCAAACTCATCCTGAATCATGTTAGTTTACTCTAGGGTTGTTGTCTCAACATGCTAGATGCCTGCAACACATAACTGACTACTTCGTATAATGGTTGAACAAGCATCAATGAAACACATGAAACTTCAATCACAGGAAGAAACCTCATCTAACATATGTAACATGAGGCGAGAAGAAAAACAGGGATTAAAAAGAGAGAAGAAAAGGACACCATTGCAGATAATCTCTGATGTTTGATACCCACATAAGGAAGAAGCACTGAAACCTAAACTGCTTGAATAATTGAGGAATTGGTCTTTTAGACTTAATACTAAGAAGAAATTTATGATATAGCAGGTTAAGTGCTGAGGATAGTTTTAACCGTGTCAAATGAGCAAATGATTCTTGTTCATTTTGTCAAATTAATGCTCATTTGTGAGTGCGTTTGAATGTTTTAAATACGTTAGCCTACTAGCTCAAGGGTAGAGCATTGTGCAAATTCACAAAAGATGTGGGTTCGAATCCCACGTAGGTTCATTTATGTAATGTGGAAACACCAGTTTGTATGAGAGTTTAATTATAACAAAGTTTATATAGTTATAAATCATTTCAAACCATTTTTTTGCTCATATAATTTAGTACGAATTTGATTTTTATTTATTTTTAATTAATTTTGTTTATAGAGATAACCTATGTAGGAATTGAACCTACATCCCCTATGCATTTTCATAGTGCTATACCAATTGAGCTAATAGGTTTTATCATATGTTTTAAATCATTTTCAATGTTATAAAATTTTAATCAGTTCATTTGATAAATCAACAAAGAATTGTTTGCCCATTTGATAAATCAACAAAGAATTGTTGCTCATTTGATAAATGAGCAAAGATTTGTTTGCTCGTCTGATAAATGAGTAAAGAATTATGTGCTCATTTGATAAATGAGCAAATAATTGCTTACTCATTTGACAAATGAGCAAGATTTATTTGCTCATTTGACAAATGAGCAAGATATATTTTCTCATTTGACAAATGAGCAAGAATTATTTGCTCATTTGACAAAATGAGCAAATAATTGCTTGCTCATTTGACGTCATACACAAGCCAAATAAGCCAAATATTATGCATTATCTCTTATAAGAAAATCTTGTAATACTTGAGGGCTAAATAATAAGACAAATATTATGCACCAATTTATTCCTTGCTCTTTCTTATTTGTACAGACAATCAAGAATTAGTTTGATCATTTGACCAAAGCTCTTATCTTACACCACAACTCCACCCTCACCTTACCCAATCACACGCACAACTCCACCAAAGCTCTTATCTTACACCACAACTCCACCCTCACCTTACCCAATCACACGCACAACAACAACAATAACACCATAGCAGGCCACACATCCTAATATCTACGCCACCAACCATTCCCTGCTACCAGCAATTTTGTAGCCATCGTTCCCAGCCAACACTAAGCTGTTGCTACAGTCCTCACGTATAGCCACGCCACACATTGCAGCACACCAACATCACCCTGTAACAAATTACCACCAATCAGGACCCCATAATAGCAACCCAAACCACCTAATTTCCTCAATTCAACCCTCCAAACAATATTTCAAGTGATGTCACGCTATCAGGTGAGAGGTAAAATAAAACTTCTTTAATCACTCATACACTCTCAAACAAATACAAAACATTTTACATAGCACTTTATCACAAGTTGATACTGTTATAATATTTGCTACCTTATATTACATTATCAATTGTAAATAACCTACTTTGACCCTTAATTATTAGCTATTAAACTCCACTTGCTAGAATGTCTAGATTAATCACTAGAGTTAAAAGAAGTAAGTAACTTGAAATATTTATAGAGTTAAAATTATGTTAACGAGTGTTATATGGAAGGTAATGGATGGAAAAAAAAATCATATATAAAATAGCCATTAAATTAAACTGGAAAACGGAGAATTATAGTACTGGTACAAATTATATAACCATATTCCACACAGTTGAGACAGAGTACAAGAAAGATGAAATATGCTCCCATGCTTGGGGATGAGCAAGCTTCCCAAAGTTCCGCTTACAAAGTTACATAAATGTACAACCACTAAGTCTATTAGCATCACGAAAAACCATCCATTGCCATTACCTTTGGTATTGGGCAAGCTGCCCAATCTAAGCTATAGCTTTATCATTTCTCATACCAAGACTAAGTCCCCAATTTGAATGTAGAAGGGCTCAAAATACAAGAGAAGAAAATTTTAAACCAAACATTCAAAGACGACATACTCAATTATATTTGGTTAAATGCACAATGTTGCCACATTGAACAATCATAGAGCTGTATGTTGATCATCAAATACAAAATCAATTTATACAAACGAACCAATTTACCATTATACAATTACCTCTAACAAAGCTACTCTAACTACATTCATATCAAGTAATTCCACTTCCCTTCTTAATTGACCTGCAATTATACCCGAAACGAATGCCGAACATAATATATATATATATATATATATATATATATATATATATATATATATATATATATATATATATAATCAAAATTCGTAAACAAAAACTTACTTCCTTCTTTCATATGTAAGAACAGAAGATGTCGGTTCTTGATTCGAATTTGTAATTAAAACCATTTTCTGATTTACGAAGTAGCATAAACTAGGGTTTTTTGTTCTTCAATTAGAAGAGTGAAAATCGAATAAAGCAATCCAAAAACTAAACAAATCTTGAAAAGGATAACAGTAATTACCAGATTGAAGTGCGAATTCGAAATTTTCAGAGCAGTAAAATCGAAATTAAAGTGTTGAACAAACCTTGATAATTATCGAGCCTTCAAATTCTTTAATCGAAGTTATTCGTACTTGTGAAGAAGAAGATGAAATCAAAATTGTCAAGCCTTCAAATTGATAAATCAATCGCCATTGATAATTACGGAGCTTCGTTGTGCAGAGAGAATAATTGAGAAAATTGAAGCAGTTAAGCGTGCAGTAGTTTTGTTATTCAGCTTTGTGTTTTAATCTCGGCCGTTGAATTTCATATAATCTAATGGCTGGTATTGGTTCTCACATAGATGAAGGTTCTCACATAAACGGTGGCTCTCACCGGATTCCGATATATTATCGTTTTATAATATTTATCAATTATCCTTAATTAGTTAATTGTTGTGTGTTATTTGGTCGCAGTAAATTAAGTACTTTCATAAGATAATATATTAATTGATCAACATAGTCAAAGTTCGTATATGTTCGATTAATTGCCCATTAAACTTCCAAAAAAAAAAATAATCGCAATCACTTTAGCAAAACGGAGGTCAACCTATATATAGAACTTTGAAAAAGAAACATGAATATTATTGATGGCAAGAGTATTTAGTTTGCATAACATTGTTTTTGGGAATTAGAATCCCGTTTTACGCACTTAGGATTTAGGAATATTTCCTTAGCTCAAAATATATACTAAAATACTTAGGAAACTTTTTCATCTTATTAAATTAGAGAAATTGCAACACAATATTATTCCTAATTCTCAAAATTTTGCCATTGAAGTAAAATTACGAAGAAGGAAAAACCAAAGAATCGATGATCTTCCAAAAGCGATACTTGCTAACATACTTGCGAAACTCCTCGCTAAAACCATCTTACATTGCAAAACAGTTTGCAAAGAATTCAACAACATAATCGCAAACCCGAAATTTGCCGAATTATACTACCAAAACTCCCATCTTAGCCTTGTAAGTCTCCGAAAAAATCCTCAATTTCATCATAACTTACATAGTGATGATACTAATCAATTCTTCATGATTGAAGGCTACACGAGTACTAGTAAACACGTTAATTATATGTTCGAGTCTTCTCAATTCGAGCATTTGGGTAATTTCATGTACAACGAATGCTACAAGGTTGTAAATTCTTGTAGAGGAATTCTTCTACTAAGAAAAGAAACTTGTAAGGGTAAAGATACTGGCTTAGAACACTTTGTTAGCTCGTTAGCCATATGCAACCCCGTAACACACGATTTTATGTATCTTGAAGATCCCTATTTGGCTAGCAAAACTACATCTTTATATGGTATAGGATTTAGCCCTAGAACTAAACAATACAAGGTTGTTGGATTGTTGCACATATTTAATGGTACTAAAACCCATATTGATGTACTAACACTTTGTAGTGGTAGTAGTGGCAAAAGTTATTGGAGACCAACAAATCAAGGTCACTTTGATCATAAAATACGGCCTACAAATAATCCTCCTTTTGAGTTGAATGGAGTTTTATACTGGTTTGCTACAGGAGAGAAAATCGCGTGTTTTGACATTGACAAGGAAGAGTTTTATCATCTCCCCTCGCCGTGTAGTGGAGATAATAATAAGCATCGGAAAATTCTCGTTACATGGATCATCACTAGGTGTTGGGATTACGGGTATAGGAAATTCTCGTTCAAGGCTCGAGTTGTGGGCAGGGGCGGACCCACCTTTAGTCATAGTGGGTCCGGTGACACAGTATTTTTTTTTTAAAAAAAATATCAAAGAGACCCCTTATTATAGATAGGTGATCTCTTTGATGCTGCTATTGGTAACAACAAACAATATCAAAGAGACCTCTTATTAAGATAGGCGATCTCTTTAATGCTGCTATTGCTACAAAAGACTTGCTGTGGTTATTTTTAAATATTAAAGAGACCTGTTATTTATATAAGAGGTCTCTTTGATGCTGCTATTGCATTTCGCAATTTTTTTGCGCTACTTTCTTTTTCATTAAAGAGACCAGTTTTATTTAATAACTGGTCTCTTAAGTTATCTCACTTTTTTTTGTATAATTTTTTAATAATTTTTTTCCCTTTTTATATCTTATATTTGTACAGCCAATTTTAATATTTCCCCATAAAGATTATCAATTAACTAAAAAATCATAAAGTTAATTCAATATAATAATTTTATTGTACCATTTGTTTATAACATGTTATTTGTAGTATTTTCGACTTGTAAAATTGAATTCTTAAGTACTGTATTTGGTTGTGGTATGAATTTTTGTGTCCTATTTTTGGATTGCAATCAATTTGGTGAAATATATATATATATATATATATATATATATATATATATATATATAATTTTTGGATTGAAATTAATTATGAACAAGACATGGAAAAAAAAATTGTACTTTCACAAATAATCAATAATTGATGGTGACACACTATCTCGGAAATCCTGGATCCGCCACTGGTTGTGGGTAATGAAAGAGTATGAAGCGAGTGATTTATGGAGCAAAATTTATGTGATTGAGAATATGCTTGATGACAAGATTAATGAATCCGTTGTTAATTTGAACATAAAGTTTGTTGAAGATTATGATTGTGGGATGATTTTTTTTTTTTTTATTCAATTGGAAGATTCATGTCACTTGATGACTTATGATACTAGAAAAAAATGCGTCAAAAAGGCGATAACTCGTTGGGTTAATTCAAGGATGGATGTGCAATTTTATGTTCCGAGTTTTTTTCCTGATCTTAGTAGCATTCGTAAGAGTACCTACAAGTGAGTTATCATATTGTATTTTACATCAAGTCAATTTTCTCTGATCCAGTCTAAGCGTCCAACCTCCTCCGATTCGATTGAGGGATGTGATGGAGAATAATATATGCGTAATTACAATTTTATAAAGTTTCATATGTGGATGGCCATACCGTGTGGTCAGGTTACTTCGTTAGTGTTATAGGGGTACTTGGTTAGTGTTATAGGGTCACTCGTTTAGGGTTTACTTGAATTGATAGTGTTATAGCACAGAGTTACTTGGTCGATCTCATAGGGGTTACTTACAAGGATATATTTTTATAACGTAAAATAATACTTTATCTTTTTTCTTTTATTATTATGGAATATCTTTATGTATCTTAGATAATAATTCATAATTAGTTTACCCTATTTAAGTTTTTTGATTTTTTTTTTTTTTGGAAAAACTTAAGTTATAATGCATAATTCAAGGTAGAGATTTCCTTACTTAAAGCCCTGTCATAACTCCACAATCAATTAATTCCAAAAAAATTAAGTTAAAAATGGAACATATTCAATATGAGTAGATCATTTTGAAACTCCCAAAATAGTATATAGGACTAACATTATGAAACGGAGGGAGTATAATTAGAAATCTTTTTATAACCCTGTATTATATATTTTGACCAATATAAAACACTCTAATTGAGGAGTTTCACAATATAATCTAAGATTTTGCAACAATATCGAGTGTGGTTGTTGAATATGAATGTGACTTAAATGGAGTTGAAATCAATTGTTGCAAAATTAAGCATAAAGGGAAGCAATACTGCTAATCGAGAAGCTAATTTTTCAAAATTGTTGCTATTTTCGGATAGGATAGCTTATTTTTAATGGTAAAGGGACGAGTTTTTCCTGTTCATCCAGTTAATAATATTTTTTTTTATTTTTTGTTTTTTGACAATAGCAAATTGACAAGAGCACAACTAAAGCACTAAATTAGAGAGTGCAACGACACTTCTTTGCTATATCGTTGGCCCGTTGCACCTGTTCCCTCTTGACCTTAATAATAGAACATTTCCTGAATCTAATGGCCACTTTCTTAATCTCCTCAAGCATCCAAGCAATCGAAATTTCATTCCCTTAGGCACTTCTTAGGTTTTCAAGCAATAACGTGGAGTCGGAAAGGATGAGTACTTCCTCCTTTCCTTGTGTTTCTGCCCATTTTAACGCTTCTAGGCATGCCCAAGCCTCACATTGTAAAGCTGAGGATGCCGTCCCATATCTACCTCCCCCATTGAAGATGTAAGATTGGTCGGGCCTAGTGATAGCCCAGCCGATACCCGCCCTCGTGGACGCCTTATCCCAAGAGCCATTAACCTGCAAAATAAAGTTAGCAAAGCTTGTTTTCTGTACCCTAAGTGTACATGGTTAAAGCCAAGCGGCAGGGTGGGCTCAGTACTTTCTTCTATCATACTCGGGCCCAGGCCCCCTACCCCTTCAGTGAACACCTCATGTTCCTTAAGTGCTATGTTAACCAGTGCTGTAGTCGTTGTCGTGGTTACAACAGCTCCCTTAAAAACGATTACATTCCTTGCCGTCCACAGACCCCATAGAGTTGCAATAAACTTGGTGATACGTGTACTATGTCTACCATCCTCGCTATAGAAGAGCAGGATAAAGTGTTGGATCCAACTTCGAAGAGAAGGGAGTCCAGTAATATCATAGCAAATGGTCATGGGACTACTATCCTAGACTGCCTTTGCTAGAGAACAGAAACGGAACAGATGCTTGCTGTCTTCCAAATCCAAACAACAAAAACCATAGATTGCATTGATTGATATGCCTCAGTTGCCAGGTTTACCTTTACCGCTATGCCATCATGAAGGACACTACTTAAAAAACAGGTCATTTCCGACGGAAAAATTCCGTCGGAATCACCCTAAATTCCGTCCGAAAACCTGTTTCCGACGGAATTTCCGTCGAAACCGGTTGTCGAAAAATCTTTTGTAGGAAAAAACGACCTTTTTCGACGGAATTATTTCATCGGAAGAGGAATTCCAGAACCAGAAATTCTGTCGGAAAGTTCCGAGGAAATACAAATCCGCCGAAAACTTCCAATAGAAATTCCGTCGGAAACTGCTTTAAAAAAACAAAAAAAAACGCCTCCCACCACCAGGCCACACCACCAGCTTAACCAGAACCCATCCACCAGAGCCACGTAACCTGAACCCACCACCTTAACCCTTCCAGGAACCACCCAGATCTAGAACAAACGACCACCTACGAAACCACCAAAAACCCTAACTAATCCTAACCCACGCCACCAAACCCAACCAGACCACCCAGAAACTCGAAACCACCCAAAGTACCCGAAACCACCCGAAAAAACCTAAAACCATCTAGATCTAGAACAAATGGCCACCCACAACCACCACCCAGACCCATGCCACCAAACCCACGAAACCCCTAAAACCCTAACTAAAACCCACGAAACCACGAAAACCCTAACCCACGCTAGAAACCACGACATCACCCAAAAATTCACAAATCGCCACCCACCACCAGCCCACACATCACACACGCACACACAACAACTCAAAACCCAATTTTTTTTTAAAAAAACAAAGAAAAATTAAAACATCAAACATACCTTTAATTGAAATGGGCTTCGAATTTCACCACGAAAAGGGTATAACAAGGCCAAATTCGGCCATGAAAAGTCTAGATCTAGGCTTTTAGTGGTCGAATTTGGCCTAAAAAACCTTCAAAATAATCAAAACAAAACTCATGGTGGTGGTGTTGATTGCGTAGCAGCGGTGGTGGTGTTGGTTGCGCAGCGGCAGTGTTGGTGGGAGAAGGAGAAGGAGAAGAGAGGAGAACTGAGAAGGAGAAGAGAAATGAAGGAAGGAGAAGGAGAAGAGAGAGAAAGAGAGGGCGGAAGAGAGAGAAGAACAGAGAAGGAGAAGAGAAATGAAGGAATGAGAATGAGAAGAGAGAGAAAGAGAGGGCGGAAGAGAGAGAAGAACTGAGAAGGAGAAGAGAAATGAAGGAAGAAGAAGGAGAAGAGAGAGAAAGAGAGGGCGGAGGAAAGAGAAGGAGGGAGGAAGAGAAGAGAAATGAAGGAAGAGAAGAGGAAAGAGGAGAGGAGAGGAGAGAGAGAAAAGATCAGAGATTAAGGGGGAGGGTTGGTTTTTTTTATATAATTAAATTCCGACGGAATATTCCGTCGGAAATTTCCGACGGACTTTAATTCCGTCGGAAAATTAAATTTCTGACGGAATATTTCGTCGGAATTCTCATATATTTCGATGGATACCGTCAGAAATTTCCGACGAAATAAAAATCCGTCGAAATTTCTTATTTTTCCGACGAAAATACGTGTCCGTCGGAAACTGTCCGTCGTAAATCGGCCTATTTCTAGTAGTGGGAGTTTCCACGGGAAGATCTTCCATTTTGGCTGGATGTTCAATCTCAAAATGAGTTTTGCAAAGTCTTCATCTTTTGTGGAAAAGAAATAGTTGTTTATCATTTGGTCTTTAGAGAGAAAGTAATAGCTAGTTTTTATACTGTATCTCCCAGACGAGTGGTAAATCCAATATAAATAATCTTCCTTCGGTTTCGACGGTAGTTCCATAGAGAGGATGTTTTTGGAACTATTCCAATCGAAACATTGTCTAACCTTACCAGGATCCCAAGAGACATTATCCCTATCTATGAAGTCGCTCACCATCCATCTCATGGATGCCCCAAGTGTTTGGTTCGAGTTTGCAACTGGGGTTAGCCCCCTAACCCAAGGCATGCTAATGGCCTTTATGTTTTCTCCATTGCCAACCTTCCAAGCAAACCCCTCCTTGAAAGAAGCAACCACCTTTTGTAATCCTGACTTTCCCATAGAGGGGTTTCCCACCCTCTTAACAGGCCTTGAGATCTTGCAAATTCCACATGGTTGGAAGCTAGTATGCACTCTTGAGATGAGGAGCAGGGGGTTAAGATGCATCTGTGATGCTTGTTTAAAGAGCAAAGCTTCGTTAAGTTTTGAAGTACAACGAATGTCTAGCCCCCCCATACTCTTTGGGAGTTGGATTACTTCCTTTTTAACCCAATGCATACCCTTATTACCATCATTCGCCCACCAAAACTTAGCGATAAGTAAATCAATTTTGTTTTCTATACTTTGGGGAAGCTTAAGACATTTCATGACATGAGCCGATATACTAACCAAGACTGTGTTGATGAGAACCAGTTTCGCTGCTTGGGATAAATGCAACGAGGCCCAGGAGATTATTTTCCCTATCACTTTATCAATAAGGTATTGGAAAGATAACTTTTTCTTACCTTGGATATCTATCGGAGCACCCAGGTGCAGTCCCACGTTTGACTTCTCTGACATAGACAAGATCCTTTTTAGAGAGCGTCTAACCTCCTCCGGCACACCCGAAGAGAACTTAAAAAAGGATTTTTGAAGGTTTAACCTTTTCCCCGAGGCGTTACCAAACCTTTGAAGAATGTCACTCACACACAAACAAGATTCCTCGGTAGCCTTGAAGAAAAGCATAGCATCATCAGCAAAGAAAATATGGGAGATGGCCGGGGATCTCCTAGAAACCTTGAAGCCCTTTATTTGGTTTATATCTTCAGCAAGGGTTAGCATTCTGGATAAAATAACCATACAAAAGAGAAAAAGATAAGGGGAAAGGGGGTCCCCTTGTCTTAGCCCACACTTGGGGGAGAACGGATTCAAGGTGTGCCTGTTGATGACTGTTTTGTAACTCACTGCTGAGACACATTGTGAGATAAACCTTATCCAATGGTATGAGAACCCGTACATCTGAAGAACCTTTGTAAGAAAGACCCAGTTTACCCTGTCATAGGCTTTAGACATGTCTATTTTGACCGCTGTGAAGTTCGAACTCTTTTTGGAATTTATGAGATGCATGAGCTCATGGCTCAAAAGAATATTGTCCTCCATATATCTGCCAGGGATAAAGGCATTTTAGTAATCAGAAATGATGCCAGGGAGCACCATTTTCAAACGGTTGACTAGGCACTTAGAAATACATTTGTAGACTGTGTTGCAGAGGCTTATAAGTCTGAAGTTATTAGCAATTTCTGGTACCTTAACTTTCGGGATGAGAACAAGAAGCGTTTGGTTCCATTCTTTTAGCATATTACCAGAAACGAGGAACTGTTGGAAACTATCGACAACAAGTTGGACAACTTCCTTCCAATAAATATGGAAAAAAATCAGCAGTGAATCCATCCGGTCTCAACAATTTCGAACCCTGCATATCAAACATAGCTTTCCTAATTTCTTAAATAGTGAAGCGTCTGTCTAACCATTCACGATCCTCCCTACTTATTTCTTAGATATGCAATTGTCGAAGCAGTAAATCAATGTCCTCCTCGTGATTGATCCCAACGGTTGGAATGAAAATTTCTTTGACCGAATTAATAACTACATCCTCCACTTCATCTTGCCCTTCGACCCATGCATCTTCATCTGTTCTTAAAGTCAGAATTTCCTTGTGCATTTGTTTTTGTTTCGCCCTCCTATACATCAAATGAGTGGGGAAATCACCGAACATGATCCAGTTGGATTTCATTCTTTGTTTCCAGTACTCAAAGTTGAGCTTGCACTCTGGAATAAGAGAATTAATTTGATTGATGTAGTACTCCTTTCTCTGTATTGAGTCAATGTTATCCCCCACCATACTCAAATCCTTAGAAACATTCCTCCAATTAATTCCCCAAACCTTCTTGTTTTTTAAACACCAACTTTGAAGAGTAGTTCTCAACACACTTAACTTTTTAGTAAGCTGAAACATACATGAACCTTGTACTTCGAGCTTCCAAGTATCATGAACCATTGCTATTACCTCCCGGAAACTGGAGGTACCAATTTTCAATTTGGTAAGGCCTGTTTGACATTTTAGAAGTAGGATTTGAATAGTAAGTGATTGCAGCATGATCGGAGCATATGATGGGCTCATGAACAAATCTTCCTTCCGGGGAGTGATTGAACCACTCCCCGATAATATAGGATCCGTCAAGTCTTTCTAGAATGAGCTCTTGTTGTTTTCTCTTGTTGCTCCAAGTAAACCACGACCCTGAGAACGGAACCTCGGTAACATCACTACTTAGTCTCCAATCAAGAAAAGCATCACTTCCTTTAATAATACAAAAATGTCCTTATTATTGGTGATTTCAATTTGGTTGAAATCACCAATAATAAGGACATTTTTGTATTCGTCCAATAGAAGTTGTAGAAATTCCCATACTACTTTCCTATTTTCCACCTGAGGCTCACCGTAAAGGAAAAGCACATGCTTAGAATTTCCATTAATCTCAGAGATTTTACAAAGGATGAAATTCTTTGACGAGTACAAGCATTCCACTACATCATTACACCAACTTAGAATTAAAAGACCCCCACTACCATCCGAATCATACCCAAAAACTGAACTTGGTCTAAGAAAATCTAAATTATGAGCGGCATTAATATAAGCCATATTAGTTTCCGATACAAACATAAACATAGGAAGTTTTGATCAGTAGATCCATACTAGATATGGGATTACAAGGGAGTGTGGATCATTCAAGCCCCTGCAATTCCAAGCAATGATATTCATAAACCCCTCGGGGGCTGTTTTGGTGCAGCCACCTCACCCTTTGTCGCAAGTTCCACCGACTCTAAGATAGTCACCTGTAAGTCAATATCCATGTCATCTTGAATTACCCTTAGCATTGAAGTAACCTCTTCACTCTTTTGTCTATTGCAAGATTCGGAGGAGGAAGATGACAGTTCTTGCGGCCTCTTTAGTTTCCTTGCCATATTAGGGTCGAAAATGGCCTTCGAAGCAAACCTGTTGTCACCATTTTTATCTTTTAACCAAATGTTGAACCCTCCCTTCAACGACCATCTGTGCAGCCTCTTAAGTCTCCTTCTTTCCACCCAACTATAGTCCGTTTCACTTTGCCTGACCGAGTCACTGTTACAAGAATGCAGATTATGCTTTGTTGCTTCCTTTGTTCTCTGCCTTGCATTAGCACTGTCATCATAATTAAATAACTCGGTAAATTTAAAAGAACTAAAAGGAGATACCGGGGTATTAGGAGGGTTAAACTCTGTGAGAGGGAGGTTCGAAAACCCTCCAAGATCAGAATTAGTGAGCCTTAGGAATGGTGGAGTAGAGGCCCTCATCCCATGTGTAATCCTTCGTGGATCATTGTTTCTTGCATTCTTGATTCCCAGAGAAAGGATAGTACTTGCTTCAATCACACACGCATATTCCTTGTCATTTAGATGCTCAGATTCCACCCTGGTTGTCGCCATTAGTGAAGGATTAAACATCCTAGGTTGCGGCAAAGAGGTTGGGGGTGGGGCTTGAATTCTATTACCCATAAAGATGGAGTTGTTGGTGCCAAAAGCAATAGGTGAAGCAGCCCATTCAGAGATGCCCAAGGTATGAAATAGGGTTCCTAGGCCTCTGCCTTGTTACTGTCCTTGTTGGCCTGCTGAGGCCTCGCCTATTTCAAAGGTGGATCCTTTGAGCATGGGCCTCTGTTGAGCAGCAGAGGATTCCCCCACCTCATAAATGGATCCCTTAAAAATAGGTCTAGTAAGGGGTGGAAGAGAAGCCTCTCCCCCTTGAGATTGTGGCCGACTATGATTAGGGTTTGACACCTTATTTGAAGTAAATTCTGCATATGGATCGTTTCCCATCCCAAGTCTTTTTCCAGGTGAAAGTGTGCGAGATCCATTTGAGTTGGTGCGCTCTCCATCTTTGCTAATTCCGAATCCTCAGAAAAGTCCTCCTCCCCGGTGTGAAAGTGTTCACTATTGTCGCTGTCCGGGGAGTAAGGTGGATTCTCGTGAAATCTACCATCATCAAATTCCATATTTTCATTCGGAACTCTTTGATAGATTGTATTATCTTCTGGTTCCTCTAGTCGCCTCAAATGTGCGCTAGTATTGCGAAATCTGTAACTGCCCGGTAAACCATAAATATAGTTAGTATAAAAAGGATATTCAGACGGGCCATACAAGACCCTTATACCGTCTGCCTCAACTTCATCGAGTCTGCTCCTGACCCTTCTTCTAGCTGTCACAGGGTGCAGCGAGCATTTAGCCGTAGAGTGGCTAGCACTCCCACACAGCTTGCGAAATTTGAAGACCCCTTCATACCTTAGATAAACCCATATAACCCGATCACCCTCAAGAGGAATGAAGCAGCTCAGTATGAGGGGGAGTGAAATATCAACGAGCATTCTCGCCTTTAATTCTGCTTGGAGAGGAAGATTCTCTCCGTCACGATCAAGCTCCTCTATATATCTCACATGTCGAAAGATTTGACGGGCATAATCAATGGTTAAGTAAGCCGATGGCAGTCCATAGACTCTTACCCACAACCTTGTCATGGTGAAACTCATTTGGTGGGGAACAAAGTCGGGTTTGTGCCTTCTTAAATTGACGATTCTGCCTTCAATGATCGTAGAGGTGATGCAGACCAGGCCCTCCTGATCTTCCCTGCTTAAACATTCGAAAAGATAGTAAGGTCCAGATCAGTGGACCTTGATTTTACCCCTTCTTATCCACCAAGAATTAACAATGAGTTGCACAAGAGACTCAGATGGGGGGTGTGGTCCAACAAAAGACCCAATGACACAAGCATTGAAATTAATATGACTAGCATCCAAATTAAAATCCGCTGGAGGAGGAATGAGTGCCCCCCTCTAAGATCTAGGTTGTTATACGTACTCATTCTGGAAGTTGTGAGATTGATTAAGATTACTCATACTTTACAAAAGACAGAAAAGACAGTAGAAAGGAAAGAGGAAGGAGTATAAAAAGACAAGAGTAAACAGATCGAAGAAGAAAGAGAATACTAAGAAAAGAAGAGGAATGTGTTTGAGATGTTTTGACGAGGAACTTCTTGCATTTATAGCAGAGAAAGTGTATTGGTAGACGCACCAGTATAAGCATTGGGAGCAAGAACATTGCAATTTACAATGCTAATAAAACCTAGCAGCAGCCTAATAATAGGTATTGACGGCTAATTTTGAGCTTGGAGCATTTAATGCAAAACGGGGATTAGTTGTTTGAGCCGCCTAAATAATAGCCCAGCTGATTTGTAGCAACCAAGGAGAGGTGAAAGGTTTGTAGCTTTTGCAAAAAAAGAAGAGTATTCCCAGTAATGACAGAGAACTTGGGAGATGGAGAAAAGGGATAGCCTTGGAAGAAGGAACGAGGGTAAAACCACAGACACAAGAAAACCCTATCCCTATCCCAATCCACGAGCGCAGAAGGAGATTACTAGAAGATATTATGGAACAAAATCTAGCACTGTTACTTAGCATAAACCCTAGCTCAGCTAAGGAAGAACTCACCTATGGTAAGAAGAAATCACCTATGGTGAGAAGAGCTCACTTTCTAGTGAGAGAAGCTCCCGTTTAGAGAGAGAAATTTTTTTGTTATCTTTCTCTCCTCCATCATATCACACAAAAACGTAAACATGTTTCCTATTATTAGTTTGTAAATATCAAACAATAACGTAAACATGTTTCGATTATAATTCTATTAATATTCTCTTAAAAATGTTGAAACGAATTAAAAAAAATAAATCAAATAAACGGTGTAACAATCTGATTTTT